ACTCCAGGTATTTCCCTCCTCAGAGCTGGCAACCCTACTTTCCCCTCAGTGCCTGTTGGTAGGCAACTAAGCTTGGTCCTGTCACCTACTTTGGCCTTTGGGAGAAAACACATTGGGGCCAGTCCTGATAGGGTTGCCAACTCCAGATGGGAAATTCCTGGAGATTTGAGGGATGGAGCCTGAAGAGGGCGAGGTTTGAGGAGGGGTGGGACCTCAGACAGGTACAATGCCATAGACTCCGCCCCCCAAACTAGTCAGTCCCTCATGGGGAACCATTGTTGCCAATCTCCAGGTGAGGGCTGGAGACCACTCAGAATTACAACTGCTCTGCAGAAAGGAGGGCAGAAGTGATAATGGTAGGTTGATGGGTAGCTGGGAAGGAGATGGGGTTGCCAACTCCAGGCTGGCAAATTCCTGGGGATTTGAGGGGTGGAGCCTGGAGAGGGTGGGGTCTGCGGAGGGGTGGGACCTCAGACAGGTAGAATGCCATAGACTCCACCCTCCAAACCAGCCATTTCATCCTGGGTAACAATTGTTGCCAATCTCCAGGTGAGGGCTACAGATCACTCAAAATTACAACTGCTCTTCAGGTAGCAGAGATCAGTTCCTCTGGAGAAAACAGTGGACTCTGTCATTATACCCTGCTGAGGTCACCACAGCAAATTGACACTGTTTGCCCAAAGCCAGAGCACTCCCCCAGAGCCTCTTTCTAGATCTCGTTGTATTTATTTCCACAACGGGCTTTATTCCTAGTCCTGCAATAAAGAACATTCATTAGGAATATGTGCATTGGACTTCACTTTTCTTTCACTTGACCAAGTCTCAGATATTAATGTGGGACAACTGCATTGGCTCTTCCTCCCTAAAACTAGGAAAGACCCTATGCTCATCAAAGCGTACAGATCCAATATCTTCTCAGTGGTGGGCATTGAGTCAACTAGTAAAACTCAGGGGAAAGGAAACTCCTGGTGCATTTCCCTTGTGTCCACTGAAGAGACACAGAGGCTGTGGTCACACACAGTAAATAATCCACTTTCAAAGCTCTTTCCAACTGGATTTTGCCAGTTCATACAGCAAAATCCAATAGGGAAGTGCATTGAAAGTGGATTATTTACTTGTAAAACAAGTGTTGGAACCTTTTATCATATGTGGTGGTGGTGTTCAAAAATCCAAACGTTTTGGATATGTATACAGAAAATGATACAAGAAATATGTAACATAAAGCTAGATTTAGTAACAGAAATATTTTTGCTTAATCCACTCCCAGAAGGCATAAACTATAATGATAAGTATGTTATACTATATATAATAACGGCAGCAAGGATCCTATGGGCAAAATACTGGAAACAAGAGATCACCCCAAAACAAGAGGAAGTGATAAAAAAGTTGATGGAAATAGTGGAAATAGATAAGTTAAATTTAATTTTACAAGGGAAACATGAAGAGTTGTTTGAACAGAGATGGGTAGGACTGTATACATGGCTGGAAAATGTATAAATGACTCGAATGTATATGTATATCTGAGAACTTATGTTTTATAAAAATCAACAAATAAAATTTAAAAAAAAGAAAGTGGATTATTTACTGTGTGTGACCTTAGCCTGAGTGTTCCTTGTGCGACCTTGCTAACCAGCAGAGTCTGTGGCTGAGGTCAGACTGGCAGTTTGAGGCACGAGGGAGTTGTGGCAAAAAAGACCCGGAACAACTTGTTCCGGGTATTCCCAGTCACACTGCACCGACTGATGCGGGAGCATACTGAGGAGGAGGCACAAGGGACCATTCACACTGTTGGCCCATCCCTGGCAGAGGCATGGCTGTAAGTGGCTTTTTCTCACTCCAGCAACGTGATGCAATTATCAATGCAGTGTGTTCACACGGCTTTTAGCATTCATACTTCCAGGAAGCGGGATGGATGCACTCTCCAGTGTTGTCTACCACTTTCACCTGGTATCTTTTAAACTCAGAAGGGAAACGTTACAAGATGGGTTGAGTACGGCTGGGGAACGCCTGACACATGTGCCTGTGTGAACGGCCCCTTTAATCCGTTTGTGAAATGTTTCTGGCACGTGCCTATATCGGGGCAAACTGCCAGTCTGAACTCAGCCAGAGAGTACCAGTCTGAAAATCCAGATGGGCTAATGCAAGCCTAGTCCAGGGAACACTGAGCTAGATCAGTTAGGGCTGTTTGTAGTATTCCTACCTGCTTGCTTCTTGCCTCTGTAGCATTCTTTTGTATAATCCTCCTTTAATTCCCCTCCCCTTTCATATTGTTTGTTGTAACACTGCTTTGATACATTGAAGACTCTTTTCTTTTTTAACCTGTACTTTTAAACAGCCCCCTGTTTTGTTAACTAAATAAATCTTTATATGGGCTACCTTCCTGGGATTCATTCTTCTGAAATATGAATTTACTACATTACTACATTGCTTTCAAACTCTTTGGTTGCTTCTATTGTTGTCAGGGACCCTGTTTCCCAACAAAGCACTGCTAGGCTGAAGGGGGAATAGCTTCTCCAAGCACTTTCTCTGTTTAGAATTAAAACCCTAATGCCTTGGATGGTGGCAGGCTACCAAAACCCTCACAGAACCCAAAATGACCAGGAGGAGGGAACCAGGAAAGCCCCACAGAACTGATTCACCCAACTAGGCAGGCAGCTGGCAGTCACAATACTCACACAACTAATGGAAGCGGATGATTTGTGGCAAATTATTGGGTGGTTGGCATAATCAGTGTTCCACATAAAACCTGTTGAGTTCAGCTAAAATACGTCTCCTAACAACTTTAAACTGTAGCAGATTTATAAGTTTTACAAATATTCTGAAAGGGAAATAGAAAATGCATATCATTTGATGTTACCTTAAACTGTGGATTGTAACACAGGCCTCCACAGACATTTTCATGGATATCACATTCCAGGGGTAGACATGTCCCTGCAGTTTGGTGGGTTGGTAGCTGCTGTGCCACAGTGCACCATCGTAAAGCTTTACGCAACAGATCATACCCTAAGATAACGCCATTTGGTTGTCCAGGAGATGCCCAGTTTATCTGGAGTGACCTACAGCAACAATAACAAAAAATGTGTACATTTTTTTTTAGAAAATGAGCTATAGCGTTCCGTACCAGCTGTAGATTCCAGATGGTCTTCAAGGGCAAACACATATAGAGTCCATTACAATAGTCTAGCCTTGAGGTTACTGTGTCATGGATCCATGTGGCCAGATCAATCAGGTCAAAGAAGGGAGCCATCTCCCAAGCTAAATGAAGACTGTAGAAAGCATTTTTTTGGAGCTGAATTAACTTGCTTCTCCAGCAAACCCTAGACTGTTAACTGAATCAATAATGGGCAGCTGAACCCCATCAAAAGTGGGAAACACAATGCCCTCCAAGACCACCACCCTCCCAACCAGCATCACCTCTGTTGTGACAGGATTCAGTTTCACTGTATTGACCTTCAACTGTTTAAACAGAGCAGCCAGGCACTGACTTAGTTCCTCTATAGCACTGCTGGGCAGTTTGGACAAAGAAATATACAGGTGAGTGTTATCAACATATTAATGACACCCAGTTCCAAAACCATGAATCATTTCCCGTAAGGACTTTACTTTAACCCTGTCCACATGTTACAGTGAATGCACATACATCCTGCATGTACATGCATACATCATTTGTAAGAAAGATCCAATGCATATTCACTTGACAAAAGACACCGGGGACCAGTACATCGATAAATGTAGGATTTGTATCACATGTTCAGCTGTACATGTGCTGAATGTAACATGAGAATTACTCAATTCACAAATTATTTAAAAAATCAAGCTTACACTGTACGTGGATTGTACTACGTTCACTGTTATACTGAGATTAAATATTGGGGGGATGAGGCTGAGCACCGAAGAGCCCCACAGGAGAACTGCCATACTGATGACAGCTGGTCTCCAACAGTGACCCTCTGAGTCTGATCCCTCAGGAAAGATTTAAATCAATCCAAAACACATTTGCTGATATGTGTCAACCTGCAACTATCCCAACAAGATAGCATGGTGTGCTGTATCAAAGGGAGGAGATAAATACAGTAACATGGAATGAGCTCCCAGAAGAGATACGGGCCCTGTGGGACCTTGGGCAGGTCCGCAGGGCCTGTAAGATGGAGCTCTTCAGCCAGGCTTTCGATTAGGAGCCGCCGCCACCATTATTCCATCAACCCTTTTTCCATCACCACACCCTTACCACCGCTGGTGCGGGTATCATCAGGGGTGCGAGATGTACCTGGCGGATGACAGGGTTGTGGGGACATATATGGTCGTGTATTGTTATAACATTGTTATAACATCTGTTATAACATCTGTAGAACACTATCTTGATCTTATGAATAGAGTGAGTAGTAGATCACCGATATTTTATTAATTGTATTATGTTTTGTATTGTATTTTTATACTGTTCTTATTGTTTTTATCAGGCATTTTATGCCCTTGTTAGCCTCCGGGGAGGGCGGGATACAAATCTAAATAATAAATAAAATAAATAAATAACAGAAACAAGTCTTTGTTCTACATTCAAAGGGAGATAATTCACTAACACCACCAGCACCATCTCCATCCCACAGCCCAGCTTGAAATCAGACTGACAAGGGTCTTTAGCAGATGAGTCATCCAGGAACGCCTGTTCTGCAACTACACTTTCAGTCACATTGCCCCCAAAAGGCAAATCTGAGACTGGATGATTAGCCTCAGTATTTTTCTCTAGCAACGGTTTTAAATAGTGGATGGATAGCCACCTCTTTTAATGACTGAGGACAAGTGCCTTGATTCAGTGCTGGTTTAAGATGGACATCAGGGGCTCACTCATGTGATCCTTACAAGGTTTCAGCAACCAAGATGGTTGAGTAGGACCTTCACAGATCCTTAGACCCTATCAACATCCCTCATAGTAAATGAGTTGAAATGATCCATAAAAGGAATACACTGTGCACTAAATACTTTGACTGTTTAGGGTTGCCAACCTCAAAGCTGTGGCTGGAGATCTCCTGGGATTGCAACTGATCTTGAGGTGACAGAAATCAGTTCACTTGGAGAAAATGACTGCTTTGGAGGGTGGATTCTATGGCATTTATACCCCAATGAAGTCCCTCCCCAAACTCTGCACTCCTCAGGTTCCATCCCCCAAATCTCCAGGTATTTCCCAACCTGGAGCTGGCAACCCTACCTGAGCTATATTTCAGCTTTCAACTAAATCAGAATGTATTTGAGAGATTTTATTACCCAAAAGCTTTGTAGAATTGTTGCAACTAATTAACCCTTAGGATACCACAGATTTTAAAAGATTCAGGCCTAGAAGTTAGCAGCTGAGCCATTTGTGAACTGGCAGCTGACACAATGGTAGCAGAGAAATAACTCTATTCCTTGCTGCGTCAGTGCTGTCTCACAAGACTATAGAACATTTTTGGTGAATTCACTCTGAGTTTTCTGCAAGCCCCTCTCCAGACATCTCTCTGCCCTTTTCAAGTCACCAAGCTCCATAGAAAACCAAGGGGTTGGAGTCTGCCTTGAGAGTGGGAGAGGTCTATCATCAGAACTATTATATGGGATCCTAAAATCCCCCATAGTGTTCTAGTAGGATCCATAATTCTCTGTGGATAGGTCACTTTAACCAGCCCCCACCATAGCAAATGGTTGGTGCCACATTAACCTGTGCCTTGAGGAGGTGGTGTTTGGATTATGGCACAGGTGGAACCTACAGGTCTAATTCAGAGCTTTCCTCAAAGGTTCAGTGCAAAAAATTAAGTCCAAGGTATGTCCTTGTTCATGTACTGAACCTGCCACAAGCTGAGTAAGTTACTAGCGTCCTGGATCAGGGGAATGCTGTAGACATAGGCTGATTTCGCATTAGAGCTGCCTCGATGTTGCGCCGCCGTTTGCCCCGATACTATTGGTCAATTTCACACCTGAAGCTGCGGGGCTGCATTTTGACTCGCTGCTTCGCCCGATTTCCCCTGCAGTTTCGTGATCCTGTTTTTTGAGGAAAGCAAGAAATTGCAAGTAGATAAATAGGTACCACTTTGGTGGGAAGGTAACAGCGTTCCGTGCGCCTTGGTGTTTAGTCATGCCGGCCACATGACCACGGAAACGTCTTCGGACAGCGCTGGCTCTTCGGCTTTGAAACGGAGATGAGCACCGCAACCCTAGAGTCGGACTCGACTGGCTTTCGAGCAAGGGAACCTTTACCTTTACTATCGGGGCAAATGGCGGTGCAACATTGAGGCAGTTCTAGTGCAAAATAAGCCATAGTTTATCTTGAATTCGGTAAAGCTTTTGATAAGGTTCTACATAATATTCTTGTTGGCAAATTGGTAAAATGTGGTTTGGGTCCTATTACGACTGTGTAACTGGTTGACAGATCACACCCAAAGAGTGCTTGTTAATGGTTCCTCATCCTCTTTGAGAGGAATAACAAGTGGAGAGCCTCAAGGATCTGTCCTGGGACCTGTTTTGTTCAACATCTTTATACAGGATTTGGATGAAGGAATAAAGGGAATGCTTATTAAATTTGCAGATGATAAAAGACTTGGATGAAAGAATTGAGGGGATGCTTACTAAATTTGCAGATGACACAAAATTGGGAGGGGTAGCAAATACAGTAGAAGACAGAGTCAGGATACAGGATGCTCTTGACAGGCTGGAAAACAGGGCTAAAACAAATATAATTTCAACAGGGATAAATATAAAGTTCTTCATTTAGGTAGGGAAAAAATCAAATGCATAATTATAGGATGGGGGAGACTTGTCTTGGCAGTACTATGTGTGAAAAGGATCTAGGGGTCTTAGTAGACCATACACTGAAGATGAGTCAGCACTGTGTTGCAGTAGCTAAAAAGGCAAATGCGATTTTGGGCTGTATCAACAGAAGTACAGTGTCTCTAAAATATGTTCAATTGGCATTGACCTGGACATCTTGGAAAATCCAGATGAGAATTTTATTTAACGGACTACCCGTAGAAGAAGTTGGGACATCGAAGCCCAAATAATTCAGGCCAGTGCCGGGGGTACTTGCTCCCCCCTTTCCCTTGGCTTTAGATATGTACCAAACAATATGGCACAATACTTCTCTAACTTGGTGAAATGCAGAGCCTTTATGCTAGCCAGATTTAATGTTTTTCCCTCATCTTGGGTTTCAGGTAGATATAGAGGTACCCCGAAATGTGACAGAATCTGTAATTGCTCATCTGGAGAACCTGATACCTTAGATCATATTCTATTACACTGCCCCCTTCACTCACATCTTTGATTACTTTGGATTAAGCCCTTACTGTCTAGGATTAACTGACAATGCAATTAGGTACCTTCTAGCTGATGAGTCACCAACAGTGGGAGGGCTTCTAATGTCCTGGCCCCACTGCTGGACCTCCTGATGGCACTGGTATTTCTGGCCACTGTGTGACACAGAGTGTTGGACTGGATGGGCCTTTGGCCTGATCCAACATTGGCGTCTCTTATGTTCTTATGTTCTTAAGTTACTGAACAGATTGCTGAATTCTTGTCCAAGATTTTGGCAACAAGGAACCATTTTTAATACTGACGTGTTTTAAGATTTGCAGGTATAATGATACCTCATGAAGTTTTATTTTATTGCCTTATATGCTAATAAAGGTGTTGTATTGTGTCCAGATCATGCGAAGAGATGGTATCGTTTTACTCTGCTCTGGTTAGACTTCATGTAGAGTATTGTGTTCAGTTTTGGCCACCACAATTTAAGAAGGATATAGACAAGCTGTGTGTCTAGAGGAGAGCAATGAAGATGATGAGGGGTCTGGAGACGAAGTCTTATGAGGAAAGGTTAAAGGAGCTGGGTATGTTTAGCCTGGAGAGGAGAAGACTGAGAGGTGATATGATAACCATCTTCAAGTATATGAAGGGCTGTCATGTACAGGATGATACGGAATTGTTTTCTGTTGCCCCAGAAGGTCAGACTAGAACCAATGGGCGGTTCCTCAGTGGAACAGGCTTCCTCGGGAGGTGGTGGGCACTCCTTCTTTGGAGGTTTTCAAACAGCGAATAGATG